AATAAGGTTTTTGTTTTTGCTGTATGAGGCGCTTGATTTGACCTTGTGCTATGCATCCTAAGAACCGCCCCACTGGTAGTGTAACTCCTCGAAGTTAGTTTTAAAACAAATATTGTTTTTCTTTTAGGCACTACTCTAGAAGATTCTAAAGTGAGATTTCAGATAGAATTAGAATTCGTCCAATGTCTCGCAAACCCTCACTACCTAACGTGTAGGTTATGGCTTTTCATTATCCATAGTTCTTGCTCAACAGGGCTGTTTCGAAAGGGCTGAATTTATCAATTATCTTAAATATCTTTTGTATTGGAAAGATCCCATTTATTCAAAATATCTCATGTAAGTATTTATGCTTTACTGCAAGCTAACTTTCCGTCTAATAGTAATGTTATAACTTATATTTTTTTACTTGTCAGTATGTTTATTTTCTATCAGTAAACGGGATGTATAGGTTCGTGGGTAGCCTGACATTCACACTTTTATTTTTGCCTTTGGGTTGTAATAACCAGCATCCTATCATGCTGATCATGAGCTAATTTAAAATAATTTTCACGAAGCTTTGGCGGCTATTTGTAGTGTATATATGAATGTTATCTATTTCATTGATTCAACTTGATTGGTTTAATCAATAATTGATTTGGCATCATAATTATCAACTTGTTGGTTATTGTATGATTTGGGACTTGACCTTTAAAAAATCTCTTACTTTTAGAATGCTGCCGACTATCATTCATGTTGCCTCATATGCCAAACTTATATTTTTACCTGTTTGAAATTGTGCTCCTATCTTTCATTTTAGTTCTAGGTTGTCAAAGTTGGCTTACATCTGCTTTTGAATTTCACTTTTTTATCAAACAAATTTGTTTATGGAATTACTCAATCTCAAATATTTCTGTTTAAAAATTTGTCAATTAAGCTGACTATAGAAGATTACTTCGTCGGGAACTTTTATTTTTTCTCCATAGTCAATTGATTTACGTATGAGCAACTTTTCTCTTACATTTTTTTTGACCTCGTAGTGTCCTTTTATAAAGCCATGGCTAGTCCATTGTTTGCTCAAACGCTTTTAGCTAAGCTCTACTATTTTTGATAAACTTACAAAACTGTTAATAGCTGTCTTGATTCCAACATATTTTGTACTAATTCTGAAAGATCTTGTTGGTCTTATCCAACTAAATCACGATCTATAAAATGTTCTCTGAAAAATGCAGAGTTTTACATATCAGCAAATTGAGAACATATGTAAGCATCTACGTTTTCTTTGCTTCATTTTTAAGAATTATGCTTCTCGAAAAATGACTTAAAAGCTAATAGCTTTTGAAAATATTAACTAACTTTTCATAACTATTAGCTTTTAAAAACATTTTTGTCTCTCGAACTGAAAGAATCTAATAACCTAAAAACGGATGGTCAGTATTCCAAAGAGATTCTTATATCGTTGATTTTTCACATCTTACTCTAGTATTAATTCAGCGATAGCGAGATGTAGGATGCATTATACATTCAAGAATGTCATTATTTTTAAAAGCAGTTGTCAGGCCCTACAAGCTGAAGTTATAGTCCTCAGAAAGCCACCTTAGCGCTGTGAGACATACTTACATCTTCTGATTTCATTTTATAGATTCTTAAATTTTGGGCTCATGCTTCAGCACAAAGTTGTGAAATGCCAGTAATCATCCCCGACGTGTATAATGCATCCTTCTAATCATTTGGTTTTCCTAGTTGCTCTCCACAGGCTGGTTTCAGTCCGAATAATTAGACAACCTACATAGAAAGTGTGCAAATGGACCACGGTAAGTAATATCGCTGCTATCAAGAACTATCATTAAATTGTAGAAAAATTGGGTCTCAAGCATCAATATATTGTTAAATTGTCCGTTAGCTAGCGGTGAGATTCGGACGTGATTAAAATGATATCTAAGTCAGATATCAAGACTGTGACTTTTTTTAATCAAACATTTGTTTATATCTACTATTCAAGATCTTATCTTGTGCCAATTAATGTCCCATGTAAAAACTCTCATCAATCATGCAAATGGATTTCATTCTCAGACAGTCTGGGCAATTATTAGCCCCAACAATGGCTAAAAGCTAGTTTCTTAGCCTCTGCGAAAACATAAGTAAGTTGTGAAAACGAGTATCGAATAGTATTTCTATATTTTAGCCATGCTGATTATCTCTTCCACCCGCGACAATGGCACCATAACCGATCAGTTATTTGTACTATTAAAATTCCTGTCTTCATAGCCCTTATTCTATGCTCAAAGATCAACGGGCTGAACAATTGATCTTCGCACACACCTGACCATGAATGTGAGGATATGATTGCTGACAATACATACAATATATTGTTACAGATACTGATAGGGATTCTATTCATGATGGATGATATAATAAATTTTGTTTCGCAAAGAATTTCGGTTCTTTAGCCACTTTAAAGGTGTCCACTATTTATGCTATGGCATATGTCTACTTTACCTCAAAAGCCATGGCTCAAGGACTGCTTGGCCTAAAAGATAACTTATTTTTTATCCGAATCCTCTGTTCGTGTTTATCTCACCAGGGGAAAATAAATTATAATGTATCCAGCATTAATTTGTTATTCATAGTCAATCCTTATCTTCGGTCAATGGTTAATGGTCACCGATCGCTGCCACAACATGCAAAAAACATTAATGATAAGATCCTCATACATCACTAATAGTGTAGGATATTTGGATATTATACAAGAAGTAGCTATTGCGCTCATTTACGAGTAATTCTTTCATATTAATCTCGGTTATTCGATTTATCTTTGAGTGAAGATCTTTGACAAACTTTTCTGTTGTAATCTGTCTTGCTTGAAACAACCGCTCAAATGTAAGGCTTATATTTCTCTTGATAGCATAAGAGACTCTTCTTATTAACATTTTATCATTATCTTTAGGCCTCTTCTCCGCTTTTTGATAACTTTGTCATTTCTTCTTACACTCCAAATCAGCTACCCTTACTGCTTGCATCTTCTCGATCTGCTCCAATCAGCTGAGTTTCGGAGAGAAATTGCCCGTGCTCCCGTAGCCCGATTTATCGATGATCAAATGCTGCTTCACTGGCAACATTATCTGCGCAAGCGCACTCTTTTAATTGCTAGACACGCCCAAGAATTAGAGGCTTCATCACAAACAAAGCCTGCATCTGCTGAGACCGTATCTGCTTCGAGGACTGATTTACCCTTAGGGCCTGGCACTACACAAGACAACCCTTCGGCTATTACTGGACTCTCTAGGTAGCAGAATGTCCAGATGTCTTTTCACCACTCTGGTCCTTCCATTGCTCTTTACTCTTGTCTATCTTTTATTTTCTTTGGATAAATGCTTTTTTAGACTAAATATGAATGCATTGCCCAGTGGCGTTTTCTTGTAAATATAGATACGGATGTATATATGTACACTTCCCTCATTTCTTCTGTTTTCAAAATAAAAGCATATCCGATGAGATGTTTATCTAGCTTTTTTACATCATTTCTTAAAATGTGTACTTTTCACTAGATATCATGTCTATGTCCTAATCATTTACACTGATTGTTGCCTCCCGTGGCGACACCAGTGGCTATCATTTTATTATTTATTCAATAGTCCCTTTGTCATTTCAAGGCAATTGCAACAATTTTCCCTGACTTCACGCAGATTATGTGTAAGCCATAAGAGGAATAATGCTTACAATGATTAGTTATTTTTATTTTCTACTTTGCTCTTGCTCATATTCTACGCTGGAGGGTTTGCTGGGCAATTAGGCCTAGAATTTCTGTATGTTAAAACCAACCAATGTGCTCTCATGATATTATTTCGGATTCTCACGGGTCATCGTTCTATAGAAATTGTAGTCACGCAGCAAACTTTCCAATGCGCTTGACTATCAACGCCAACCCAACTGGCGCATGGCCTCCGGTTTATCTCCCTAAAATCTTACCTCCGGAAGTTTGAAAGCAGTCCTTGGTCATGCATAAGCCATTTCACTACCTGGTACCTGCTTGCTAGCCTGTTTGTTTTTTATTGCATCATTTCAGCTAAAAGATATGCGAGGCTGAATATAACCTTATTAAAATTCACCTTTTTCTTACTCAGATAGCCGCATGATTTTATGCGTAATGGTGATGAGAAATTCAACCGATAAAAGAGGATCAA